GGGAGGTGCAGTTGTTTATTGCGAACCCCCCCCCCGAGCCTCCTCCGAGCCTCCGAGCCTCCGAAGAGCCGGCTTCCTCGAGGAGACAGAAGTGGCGCGCACGCACGGCGGAACGCCCTGACGCCCGTTGCTGGGACGGGGCGCACTCTGCGTGACGTCATGACGCCTGATGCACGCAAGCACGGTGCGGGAACGCAATGCCAGGTGTTGAGGACGCGCACGTATGGCCTGGGAACGTACTGACGCACGGGAGTTCTCCCCTCTCATCGCTGTCTCCGTGTTGGTGGGAAGTCTTCGATTTATCTCTCCCTCAGTGTAATTGAAGGGAAGGGTAGGGGAGACATCGCTGCCGCTGCTTGTCGGTAAGTGAGCGTTAAAGCGGTATCAGGGGAGGCAGCAGAGGATAAGAAACTCTCACCCCAGTACCTCCAGATCCGCCTGAAGCGCTCAGGCTTGGAGCCAGCAGCTAGGCCCTGACGGATTCCCCCGGGTTCCCCCATCCCTCTCCCCAGGCGGCTGCAGTCACGGGAGCCGGGCAGCTGACCTTGTGGCTGGGGTCAGTCTCCGGGCGACAAGCGGCATCTTCCTCCTACAGGCTGCCACTTGGTTCAGCTTCACGTTGAGGGAGAGGCTAGGGTTTGTGGATGGGGTGTTAAAAATCTAACACAATAACCCATCGCAGCAAACAATAAGCCGAATGAGCCAACATCAGGGCCGCCAGCGGTTGTTGTAAACTCAAAACAAGCAAAAAATAACGCGCTGGAGAAACTCAGCAGGTCTGGCACCATCCTTGGAGAGAGGGAAGCGTAGTTAACGTTTCGAGGTCATTGGGAGTCCTCTTCAGAAATTGTGTGCCCCCTGTTTTTGCGAATCATTTTTCACTGATTCCCCTATGAAATACTGAAGACAAGAAGGTTTAGTCTGCCAACAAACTGATTTTGTTTTGGTTTATCTTGAACATTTGGAGATTGGATTTGATTATGGTTGCTGATTGTAGTATTTCTGTATTTAATTTCTCAATTTAAAATTCTGACTTGTTTGTATTGCTACCTGCTTGTAAATAAGCGTATTAACTAAGTACAGATAGTTTCCAAATCCATAACCATTTTGATCTAGAAGAGCAAGGGCAGCAGATTTTTATTGCAAAAATAAACTTCATTCATAAAAAGTTTATAATTATATACAAAGGGTTCTCAATCCATTCTCTACAGACAAATAGCATATTAGAATTTGACATCCCAAACAGCTACCGTTAAGTTATAAAAACAAGGGAAGCAGATACAGTAAATCCTCTGTATCTGTGAAAACATGAGTCACAAATTCGCCTATCTGCACCAAAATATAAGTAACAACAAAAATCGTGTATCTTTAACCATTTAAACTATTTTAAATGAGCTCCACTCTCACGAATTTCATCATTTATGGGAGTTCTGAGGAACAGAACCCTAACAGATACAGACTGTACATATGCACACCATCATCTGCTAGTTCTCCTCCAAGTCACACACAAGTTATCGCTGTTCCTTCAGTGTTACTAGGTCAAGATCTTAGAAGTCCCTCTGTAACAGCATTGTGGGTGTCCCTACTGCACATGGACTGCAATGGTTTCAGAAGCTAGCTAGGGATGGGCAATAAATGCTGTCCCCAGCTACCTCCCATAAATGAATAAAACACATGACTTTTTTTTTCACATTTTGTTAGCTTCTTGGGATGGGGGTTGAGAAGATGGTGACTTTGGAGCCTATGGTTTCCAAGCTTTTCATGTCTTTTGTGGAGTTTCAGCCTTCAAGTATATTTAACGTACAGATTAATAGATTTATGATGATCAATGGCATCAAGAGTTCTGCAGATAGTATGGGGAAAAAAAGCATTGAAGTGTTCAATCAGCTACAGTTGTGTTAAATGGTGGAACAGGTTCAGTGGACTGAATAACCTACTCATATTACTAAATTCTTATTTCTGGGTTACCTGTAACCTTTAGTAGAGATTATTCACTGTGTTTTGTCGGTAATTCAAGTATCATTTAATTATGCAGTGATTAGGTTGGTAAAAGGCAAAGTAGATGGATTGTGGTGTTTTATTATCTAGTGGTTTTTATGTAATTTGTGTTATTGTGGTTTATGTGGGGTATGAGAGCAAAATATTGTGTATGTTGCTGCCCTGGGGATACTAAGATTCCTTCTCAAAAGAACTGTATTTGCTGTTGGTAATGGCTCAGTTAGTCTGGACTGAGTTGCATGGCTACATTCGGAGGTTTGGGATACGAGGTAGAATGAAATGAACTGAGAGGTAAAAGGATACAAAATTATATTCCTCAATGTTCCAGGTAGAATCATAAATGATGTCTGCATGCATGACCCCTAGCTATTGGTCAACTGTTGTTTTAATTCTTACTCTAACACTGACCTTTGTCTTTGGCCTGCTGCAGTGTTTCACTGAAGCTCCGCATAAACTCAAGTAATGGCACGTCACTTTTCCGCTAGGTACTTTATGGTCTTTTGGACTCAACATTACGTTCAGCGATTCTGACTGTAATCTGTGTACCCATTTTGTTTCACTTTCTTTGCATTTTTCAGTTGGCCTCTCATTTTTGCATTCTGACTGTGCAATACATGTTCCGGACACAACTTTTACTTCTTTTCTACCCTAATGTCACTTCAAATGGCCTTTCTCTTCCATTATTGAATCACTTCCATTGTTGAATCTCTCCTGTTTCCCACAGACTTCACAGAATTACAGACATGTTATGGCTTGGACGGAAACTATTCGGCCCATCAGGTCTGCATGGCTCTTCAAATTAGCATCATTACCTACTGCCAGTCTCCTGTGTTTTCCCCATGCCCTTGCATCGAAACATAGAAAACAGGAGGAGTAAGCCATTTGTCCCGTCAAACCTGCTTCGCCATTTAATATGATTGTTACTGATCGTTCAACTCGTACCCTGTTCCTGTTGTCTCTATATACCCTTTAATTCCTGTATCTATATTTAACTTCTCTTTGAAAACATTCAATGTTCCGACCTCAACTGCTTTCTGTGGCAAAGAATTCTACAGACTCACCACTCTCTGGATGAAGATATTTCTCTTTATCTCAGTCCTAATGGCTTACTCTATCCTTAGACTGTGACGGCTGGATCCCCAGTCTTCAGGAACATTCTTCCTGTGTTTTCCTTATCCACACCTGTTGGAATCTTCTAGATTTCTGTGAGAGTGAAAAATGAGGTAGGCAAAAAATTCCAGAGAATGTAGTCCCAAGTGCTCTAGTCTCTCTTTATATGTCCATCTTGCCACCCCAAGATTCAGTCTGGTAAACTTTTGTGGCACTCCCTTGATTGGTAGACCATCCTTCCTCAGATAAGGAAACCAAAACTGTACACAGATGTGGTCTCACCAAGGCCCTGTACAATTACAGCAAGACATCCTTGCTCCTGTACTCAAATCCTCTTGCTTTGAAGGCCAACATACCATTTGCTGCCATCCCTGCTTGCCACACCTGTGTGCTTATTTCCAGCAACTGATGTACAAGGCCACCCAGGTCTTGTTTTCTAATAGATCACCATTCAAATACTGTTTTTGCTACATTTATCCACATTATTCTTTATCTGCCATGCATTTGCCCTCTCACTGAACTTGTCTAAATCACACAGAAGCATTTCTGCATCCTCCTCTCAGTTCACCCTCCCACCCAACTTTCATGTCATCTAAATCCTTGACATATTACACTTAGGTCCCTCATCAGAATCATTAATATTTATTATGAATAGCTAGGATCCAAGAACTGATCCCTGCGGTACTCCAATAGTCATTGGCTGCCACTTGGAGAAAGATCCATTTATTTCTACTTTTTATTTTCTGTCTGCTAACCAGTTCTCTATCCATGTCAGTACACTACCCTAAGCCCACGTGCTTTCATTTACATGCTAATCTCTAATGTGGGACCTTGTTAAAATCCTTCCGAAAATCCAAGTAAGTGCCATCTATTGATTCCACCTTATCAATTTGACTAATTACATCCTCGAAAAATTTCACTCAATTTGTTAAACATATTTTCCTTTATGTCAATCCATGCTTACTGTGTCTGATCCTTTCACTGTTTTCCAAGCTCTGCTATTAAATCTTTTGTAATGCATTTTGTAAAGCATTTTTTTTGATGTCAGGCTAACTGGTCTATTGCATTTGTTATCATACAATTCATAGCAATTGTTCTAGTGTAGCGAATCTTGAAAGATGACCATCAATGCATCCACTATTTCTAGGGCTACCTCCTTAAGTTCTCTGGAAAGCAGATCATTGGGCCTGAGGGATTTATCAGCCTTTAATTCCATCAATTTCCCTATAAATACTGATTTCTTTCAGTTCTTCCCTCTCATAGACCTTGCATTCTCCAACACTTTGATGTTATTTGTGTTCTCCTTTGAGAAGTCATTATCAAAATATGCATTTAATTTGTCTACTTTTGTTTGTTGCCCATTATAACTTCCCCTGTTTCTGACCAAGGGACTACATTTGTTTTCGCTTATGTTTTTTTTCACATACCTTTTACAAAGAGTTTGTATGTGCCCTGCAAACTTACTGTCATACTCTCAAGAAAACCTGGATGAATACATGCATAGGAAGAGACTAGAGGAATACGGATCCTGTAAGTGAAGACAGTCTTAATGTGGAAGGGCAAAATGTGTTGACGCAGGCTGGAGGGCCAAAGGCCCTGTTCCTGTGCTGTGTTGTTCTTTGTTCTATTTTGCCCCTCTTAATCAATCCATTTACCCTCCTTTGTCAAAAGCTAAACTGCTCCCAATCTTCAGGTGTGCTGCTTTTTTTTTTTGGCCAATTTGTAAGTGCCTTCTTTGGATCTGATACTGTCCTTGATTTACCTTGTGAGCCTCTTTACCCTATTTGATTATTGTGCTGGACGGGCATGAACAATTCTCGCAGTTCCTCCATGCACTCTTTAAATGTTTGCCATTGCCTATCCATCGTCATTCCTTTAAGTAATGTTTCCCAATTTATCATGACCAGTTCGTACCTCATACCATCATGGTTTCCTTTATTTAGATTAGGACCCTAGTTTCAGAGTCAATTATGTCAATCTCCAACTTATTTAAGAACTCTCTCATATTATTTTCACTCTTCCCCAACAGGCCTCACACAGCTAGATTGCCAACTATTTCTTTCTAATTCGACAGTACTCGGTCTTATTTTATAGTTGGTTCCACAATGTATTGATGCAGAAAACCATCCCACGCACATTCCAAGAATTCCCCTCCTATGGTATTCTAAATGAGCAAAGTCTTCGGAAATCTGAAGCTTAAAGGGACTTGGGAGTCCTAGTTCAGGATTATCTTTGGGTTAACATGCAGTTTGTT